AAGCCAGGTGGTCTATCAGCAGTGTACACGCTGCTCAGTGTGCTAATGGTGGCGAAACAAGTTATTACAAAAAAAACCATCTGCTGTCACTTGTGGCCATGCTAATTAGGCTGAACATTCACAGCAGCACCTGCTGCGGTAGCTTAGAGTAGTGAAAGGAGGATGTGGTAAACGGCGTGTACACTAGCGTGATTGACAATGCTAAGACCGACCTAGATCTGATTGGTTGTGTTTGAATGTGGTGTATTTCTGCAGATGCCAATAGAACCTCCTGCAGTGTTATTACTATACAACACTGCAGGAGCAGTGTTGTATAGTAACGAGTAAAAATACTACTTAAGTATATTTTGGAGTACTTCCTACTTTAATCGAGTATGAAAATTTTTGATAATTTTCACTTCACTATATTTCTGAACTTAATTGCATACTTTTACTCCGATCCATTTTCTATATGTGGTTTAGTTACTCGTTACTGTGATGGAGGAGCCGTCACGAGATAGGACCTAATTAAAGTTACACAATCGCTAACTGACGTTTTGTTGCAGCTTGGACTGCCGCGGTTCATCATGGGTCACGCGCGATTCATCGTGGGGACCCGAATCGCGCGGACCGCGCGGTGTTCCCGCTTCAGTTCACATTAACCCTTATCTGTCATTTTCAAACATTTCCCGGCTTTATTTTCAATTGGGTTGTTTCCGGATTGTGACGCACCGGCAGAGAGTTGCGTGATGCGGTGACGTCATCAGAACGTACTGAGTGTTGGCTGTTAAATTGATTATTGTATTTTTGGATTATGTTAAGATCAGAGGAATATCTTCACTTTGCTCGTTAATTTCCTCTGTTTCCCAGGTCCATCAGTCTCCGCGTGCACAGTGGGAATAATAGAGAAACAATCATACAACTTCAGACATATAAGAGCTTTATCCAGAGAATTCAATGCATACAGAATGTTATATCAGCATTACACCCAGATTATCAAGAAGTCCATGCTCACTCGGGCACAAAGTAATTCGATCTTCCGCTGTAAAACAGACCTTTTTAAGGATGTGTGTTTCCCTTTAATTTAAATATATGCAATATAATGTCCTGCAAGGCAGGACATTAGAAGGTGTGTCCTGCCTTGCAGGGCTGCCTCAATGTTAATTTTATTGCCCTGCTTGAGACCTGCTGTACCAGTCTACTTCTTACATTCCAGACGAGAATTTATGACCTGCAGCTGGCTGTTGTTTCTGCCTCAAAGTAATTCAACAAGAAACTGATCTCTTATTTTAAACAAACTGGCACAAAAATCTAATGCTAAATAACTTTGTGTTTGGATCTAAAAACTGCAGGGTTATCTTCTTTTTAGGAACAACTATTGGAATACCTAAAATATTTTGGAAGTAAAATAGTTTCCTTATCCTATTGTATTTCAGAAATATAAAATGCATGCAAATAGTGTGGTTAAAACTCTCTCGCATGCCACCATATTCAGAGCACCATCGGTGACCATGCATGTCACCTCGCCTGAGATTCCCCATTCCTCCATCAGGGAGGCTTTCACACGAGCAATATTTTCAGCAGTGTGAGACTGGGGGAATGCCTGCACTCCCAACAACACCGAGCTGAGCTTTTCGTTCTCCTCCACAGAGTCTCAGGTAGGCATCCATGTTGATGGATGTCCACATATCTGATGTAAGGCTAACAGCAGCCACCTTCTCTACTTTAGCCTTAGCCTGCTCCTTATCAGACTCATATTTGGCCTCCACCATAACCTTCAGAGCCTAAAGGAAAAATATATATCGTGCTGAATTGTGACACATACAATAATGTAGTCATTCATTTCATGTATGGACCCACACATACCTGCCTTGGAAGGGGGACATAATTGGGATCCAGCTTGGACACAAATGTCCTGAATCCAACGTCATCCACAATAGTGAAAGGCTGGGATCCTTCACTATCATGGAGACTAGAACTTCATCCAGCTCTGGTTTTCTGGTGGCTGGTTAAAAGAGAATAAATACAGTGTCTGTTACCTGTCTTTATTTGCACAACAAGCAAACATCAGCATGCAAAAATATATTGTAATATTGTAATGAATTACCTTGGCTGGGTGAAGCTCCAGTTTCCTCCCTATTCCCATGCAAGGCACAGTATGCCTTAGCAAGGATGAGGTGTTATTACTGTACCCCAACTCCTTGGAGCACAATAAACACCTCACCTTTAAATAAAATAAGAAACAGTGAAGAATACAGTTCCTCATAAGCAAACCTAATGCATCTGCAAATGTTCAGTTCACCTTACCTTGTTAGGGCTTATCAAATCAAAATGTTCCCACATAGGGGAAATCCTCCTCTTTCTCGCCGGCTCCATCCTATTCCTATCCTGTCCTCACACTCCTATCTATCTATCTATCTATCTATCTATCTATCTATCTATCTATCTATCTATCTATCTATCTATCTATCTATCTATCTATCTATCTATCTATCTATCTATCTATCTATCTATCTATCTATCTATCTATCTATCTATCTATCTATCTATCTATCTATCTATCTATCTATCTATCTATCTATCTATCTATCTATCTATCTATCTATCTATCTATCTATCTATCTATCTATCTATCTATCTATCTATCTATCTATCTATCTATCTATCTATCTATCTATCTATCTATCTATCTATCTATCTATCTATCTATCTATCTATCTATCTATCTATCTATCTATCTATCTATCTATCTATCTATCTATCTATCTATCTATCTATCTATCTATCTATCTATCTATCTATCTATCTATCTATCTATATCTATCTATCTATCTATCTATCTATCTATCTATCTATCTATCTATCTATCTCTATCTATCTATCTATCTATCTATCTATCTATCTATCTATCTATCTATCTATCTATCTATCTATCTATCTATCTATCTATCTATCTATCTATCTATCTATCTATCTATCTATCTATCTATCTATCTATCTATCTATCTATCTATCTATCTATCTATCTATCTATCTATCTATCTATCTATCTATCTATCTATCTATCTATCTATCTATCTATCTATCTATCTATCTATCTATCTATCTATCTATCTATCTATCTATCTATCTATCTATCTATCTATCTATCTATCTATCTATCTATCTATCTATCTATCTATCTATCTATCTATCTATCTATCTATCTATCTATCTATCTATCTATCTATCTATCTATCTATCTATCTATCTATCTATCTATCTATCTATCTATCTATCTATCTCTATATCTATCTATCTATCTATCTATCTATCTATCTATCTATCTATCTATCTATCTATCTATCTATCTATCTATCTATCTATCTATCTATCTATCTACTAAACTCTCCAAACACCAAACTAACGGTCTCAAACTAAATAACCACTCTCCAAACTCTGCTATCCAAACTATCAATCCTCTATCCACTCTCTCAACTGACTGCAACTCGCCTACAACAACCCACATTTTGAATGGAGCCTGTGGGTTTTATAAAACTGTTATAAGGCTCTTCCCCTAAATGAAGCAAGCCTCGATACGCGCTTTACGGAAACGTCCCCTCCATTACTGACACACGCTTCGAAGCCTCGGCACGTCAGGTAGCATCACTAGCACGTGGCATCTTTGTTCACTGAATAGATAATAAAATTCACTGAAGTGATTTTGGGAAGTCTTTATTTTGTGGGTTGCCCAAGTCATAAGAGAATCCCGTCACAGATACAAAAAAGTGAGAGAGAGAAACGCAAGTGTTTTGACCCAACCTACTGATTGACTGCAACAAAGTCAATCAGTAGGTTGGTCGCTGCTTGCCTGGGCTGTTCATCACCACCAATACGATGCACCTGTTTCGCTTCTCCCATTAAACACCAAGTTAACAAAAAGCTCTCCCTCTTCAGATGCCAAATAAGCTGCATTTCCCTCCCAATTCTTTTTTCTTTTACATAATGACCAGTTGTGTCCACCTCTAGTTTGTGAAATAGAGTAATCGTAATGTTTTTTTTTTCTTCATGTTTGTCGCATTTTCTGTACTGACTATTTATTTTTCTCATTTCAGCACTGACCTTACTGAAAGGAAAAACTTAAGGCTTACAAAACCTTTGTATTTTCTGTCCTGGAGGGTTTACTAAAAAGCTGGGTCAGTTGTAAAGCAGGTTAAGTTAACCTAAAGCAGGTTAAGTTGACCTTGTGGTGTAGGTAAAGCACCTAATGTTCTTAACTAAATGATGCCTGCAGATATATCTATTAGCAGGTTTCATTTTGCCTGCATTTTGTGTACATTATTTTAAGTGCATTTGACAAGTTTACCAAAATATGAAAAATGTCATTCAAACTGCATTTGCCATGTTTTACTTTTTATTCATACTTTTCATTGCATTACTTGAGTACATCCATTTTCCATACTTAAGTACAAGACGTTTCAGATACTTTAAGACTTTAACTCAAGTAACATTTCAGTGACTTGGACTTTCACCAAAGTCATATTTTGGAGAGGTACCTATACTTTTACTTGACTGAGATTTCAGTACTTTATACAACAGTGGGCAGGAGAGCTTGATTTTTTCACAGACACATGTGATGCAGTCATCTAAATCCACACGAGAATGACTTTGTAAAGGCTAACCTGGAGAAGACTGTGGACTAGAAATGAGAACAAATTTTTTGAGACAGTGTGGGCAGATACTAACAAGTCAAGATCCTGAAAGACTTAACAGTGAAGACTGAATGCTGAAAGGGAATCGCAAGGCATTCAAGAGTGTCCAATGACTAAACTGAATTATATCTGATTTTCCAACATGAATGGCCTTCACTGTATTCTAACAGGATGAGAGTTTCATACAGAAAGGCTCCAGATCAAGTCAGTGATGATGTGGTCAAGGACCAAAGGCTGTGGTAATGTGTGCCTGAGCTGCTGCTGCTGTTCATAACCTAACCTGCTGATACTCAAGATCCATTGTAATGGAGAAAGTTGTTGAGTCTTCATTGTTTTAGTCATATTGTAGAGCCCCTGGAGCCTAAGGAAGCCGGAAAGCTTTGGACAAAGCTGTATATTGACACCTTGGTGAGCGCTATTTCCAGTTTAGTGTCCTGATAAAAGAGTGGCAGGATGAAACTGACCTCGGGGTGTTATAGGCCTGTGGAGGATCAATAACTTCAAACTGGAGACCTAGTTAGCAGCAACATTGAAACAGAGTTGGCCACAGAGCACAGTGGGGTTTTAGCAGTCTTCAAGGGACAGCCAATGAGTCCTGATGTTGCTGCAGCTGGATCATCTTTTTTGTAAGGTCTTTATGATCAAATACACAAAGCAAGGGCTCTAGAAGACTGGTAAGTACAGTTGTTCCTTTGATATTTAAACATTAACATAAAAGTCTTACAATACACATTATCTTCTTTATTCACTCACAGCTACTCATAATGTGAGAGAAGATGGGGGACTGGAACTTGTTGGGTAGCATCTTAGAAGAGGTCCACATTCATTCGACCATTGTGGGGAAAATCTGGCTCACCATCCTCTTTATCTTCCGGATGCTTGTACTCGGCGTTGCAGCAGAGGATGTTTGGGACGATGAGCAAAGCGAGTTTGTCTGCAACACAGAGCAGCCAGGCTGCAAGACTGTCTGCTATGACCAGGCTTTCCCTATCTCCCTCATACGCTACTGGGTTCTGCAGATCATCTTTGTGTCCTCTCCCTCACTGGTCTACATGGGCCATGCTCTGTATCGCCTGAGAACTCTTGAAAAAGAGAGGCACAGAAAGAAGGCCTGCCTGAAGGCAGAGCTGGAGGGGGCAGATACTGACCAGGAGGACCACAAGAGAATCGAGCGGGAGCTCAGGAAGTTAGACGAACAGAAGAAAGTCAGGAAAGCTCCGCTCAGAGGGTCACTGTTGCGCACATATGTTTTTCATATCCTGACCAGGTCTGTGGTGGAGGTGGGTTTCATCATTGGTCAGTGTGCTCTTTTTGGCATTGGACTGTCTCCTCTGTACAAGTGTGAGAGGTTGCCATGCCCCAACAGTGTTGACTGTTTTGTGTCAAGGCCTACAGAGAAAAATATTTTCATGGTGTTCATGCTTGTCATTGCTGGAGTGTCTTTGTTCCTCAACCTTTTGGAGATTTTCCATCTGGGTGTGAAGAAGATCAAGCAAATCCTTTATGGATACAAATATGGAGATGATGACAGTGTCTGCAGGTCAAAGAAAAATTCTATAGTGCAGCAGATTTGTGTTCTCACAAACTCCTCACCACAAAGGCTGATCCAGCTGACTCAGGTGTCCAGTCCTGTTTCATCAGATCTTTACAAGGATGCTCAAAGAGATGTGCTGCCTTGTAACTTGGTTCCAGCAGGTTTCCAGAATACAGAAGGCATGGACATCTCACAGCAGCATCCTGCACAGACGTTCCGGCCGAGCCAAGGTGACATCCAGCATTTGAGGCAACTGGGGGCTGTGGAGCGGCGACACACTCTGGATAACAGAAAACCATCCTTCAGCAGCGATGAGTCAAATGGACCTCATTGCTCGGGCAAAACTCATTATCCAGGCCCGCGAGCAACGCTGGTGGCTAGCCACATTGAGATTCCTGCTGCCCTGAAGATCCCCCAGAGGAAGCAGAGTAAAGTCAGTGTCTGCAAGGAACTCAGTGACATGAGTGATTCTCCAGAGAGCGACCACTATCCCACAGCCAGGAAGTGCAGCTTTATGTCCCGAGGACTGTCAGAGGCCAAGCTCGCCAGTCCGTCTGACAGCAACGCCTCTCAGAGTGGATCAGATACCGAGGCCCAGCACTTCAACCAGGGGGAAAGCCCAGTGATGACCCCACCGCCCCCCGCCTCTGGGAGGAGGATGTCCATGGTAAGTGAAAACTGTAGCACCCTATGTTACGCTTCACCTAATATGACGCTGAAAATGTTTGAGTTTTTTTTCTGATGCAATAAAACTACGCATATTTGATTCGTGGAGTAGAAGAGAGAGATTTTCAGGTTTCTGCTTTTCTCAACTAGGCTATAACTGGACACCCAGGCTGGTCCTGGTTCTTAACCCAGAGAATTTCATAGTGATGACACATCATAACAGATGATGTTATGATTTTCTGTTAAAAAAGAAATGTCTAAGTTGATAGGACAAAATGGTATTTAAAAAATAATAACTTACTCATAAGTCTTATGAAGTGAGTGCAACACAAAAAGAAATGCCATAAAAAAACATCCCAAAACTTAGCAAGCCAAACAAGAAATCTGTGAGAACTGTGCTGTTGTCTGATTTTGTGTGGAGGGTATTTAGATATAGATCTGATGCACTATGCTCCTGTTTAATCTTCAAACAAGACCACCTAAATATGTATGTTAAACGGTCAGCATCATGAGCACATCACCGTGCACGCAGAGCATTAATTGACTGAGAAAAATAGTGACTAGCATAAAATTGTGTTTTGTGCACCAGAGCAGTTTGAGATTTAGATTAATATCCATCTCAACTTGTTGGAGTCTGAACAATACGTTTGTTAATGCATATCTTACCAGTTCTATAAGTCAAACATTTTCAGCTATTCAGTCGTATTTAGTAGGCTCAAAATCACCAACTGGAGACACCTCCTGATTATCAGAAAATAATAATCAAATAGTTCTCCATCTCAGTTGTTTTACGATCACTTGCCTGATAAGGTTTGATATTAAATTACAGTAGCTAAAGGATTATGTGTAGCAATGAGGACAGAACAAGTTCTGTACACTTATGGAAAACAGCTTCTCTCCAAAATATAAAAGAATGTATTAAAATTTTATTTCTATATTTATTAACAAGATATTGTTTTACAGTTCAAAAATGATTATCAGGTGTTGGATCATAAAACTCACTAATTTAGTAACAGTGAACTAAACTAGTGTTAGTAAAAATGAAAGAACAATGAAAACCACCAGAATAAATAACAATAAATTCAATAACTAATTAAATAATACAGTAATATCACAGCTAAGAATAAATATGTCCATTTAACCTAAAAAAAATAATTTGGAATTTGACCAAATGAACTGTAAACGAAATCAAATTCAGCTTAAGACAAAATTGAGCACAAAACTTGGTATGTGTTCAGCAGTTCACCGTGCTTAGCCGAAGTGAAGATAAAAACATTTCGCAAAGTAATGTTTCATGAACTAATTTGCTAAGAGGCCTGGAAGTCGATGCAACGACAGCAGATCTTTAATGTATCTTAAGTTGTTCAGTGATTTATTCTCTCAGTGAAGGACTGTAGGACTGGTGTCACCAGCAGCAGCGTTCTGTGAAGACATAACTCAAGATATACATTGTTGAGTAATGTATATGTTGGAAACATCAAAATATTACGTTTTTTTAAAAACCTTTGAGGAAAGAAAAGTCTACTTTTTGGATAACAAAGGATTAACCAGCACTGTTTTTTTTCTTTCAGAGCATGATTCTGGAGTTGTCTTCAATCATGAAGAAGTGAACCAGAAACATCCATGTTGGCGTGAGGCCAGAGGCACTGAGGACTTCTGTAGACATCACATCATGTTTCACCTCATTTCTAGTTTCTGTGTAACTTTCACCATCTGATGGTATTCACTCATACACTTAGACTTTCTGTGTTTAGGTTTGTGGATCAAATCATCCATTCCATAAAGTGAGTCTCAAAATCTTATATAGCAAAGATATTGGATTACAGGATGTAACTAAGGACAGTGGGCAATGACAGAGAAATACAATAAAATTCTCTTGACAACATTTTCATATACTATTTCTTTTCTTGTGCAATACACACTTGTAACTTAGACAAAAAAAATTACTTTTTAGCCAAAAAGCAAAATGCTATGTGTGGGAGAGAACGAACACTGCACATCGCTCTGAACACACCATCCCCACTGTCAAATATGGTGGTGGCGGTATCATGCTCTGGGATTGTTTCTCTTCAGCAGGACCAGGGATGATGGTCAGAGTTGACAGAAGATGGATGGATCAAAATATGGAGAAATGCTGGATGAAAAACTTAATCTAAAGACTTGAGACTGGGTGAAGGTTCAGCTTCCAGCAGGACATCCACCCTAAACAAAATGCCGAGAACAAAGTGGAATTATTTAAAACAAAAATATACTCATATGTTAAATGGCCCAGTCAAAGTCCAGACCTAATCCCAATCAAGAATCTGTGGCAAGATGTGCTGTTGATAAATGCTCAGTGTCTAATCTGACTGAGTTTGAGCTGTTTTGAAAAGAAAAAAGATCAAAATGTATTGGTCTTTTACATTAAATTCCAATGGAATGTATTTATTTTTGTGGACACAAGGCACATCACTGTAGCCGTTGAACTTTCTGTCTGTTCCATGTGCAACACAGATTTGGGCTAACATTTTTACTGTGATTTTTTATCAATCAATCAATCAAATTTTATTTGTATAACACATTTCAGCAGCAAGGCATTTCAAAGTGCTTTACATCATAAACACAAAGTCATGCAACATATAATAAACAATACATTGTTTCATATTACATTTCAAATACAATTCTAAACATGTATGTTTTTATTTGAGATTTAAAGGAAGTCAGGGTTTCTGCTGTTTTACAGTTTTCTGGAAGTTTGTTCCAAATTTTTGGTGCATAGATGCTGAAAACTGCTTCTCCTCTCTTGGTTCTGGTTCTGGGGATGCAAAGCAGAACCAGAACCAGAGAGTCTGGAAGGTTGATACAACAACAGCAGATCTTTAATGTATTGTGGTGCTGAACCGTTCAGTGATTTATAAACTAACAACAGTATTTTAAAATCTATTCTTTGAGCTACAGGGAGCCAGTGGAGGGACTTTAAAACTGCTGTTATGTCTCTATCTTCCTGGTTCTAGTGAGAATGTGAGCAGCAGCTTCTGGATCAGCAGCTTCTGGATCAGCTGCAGCTGTTTGATTGATTTGTTGGACAGGCCTGTGAAGATGCTGTTACAATAATCAATGCGACTAAAGATAAACGTATGGATGAGTTTCTCTAGATCTGACTGAGACATTAGTCCTCTAAGCCTGGAGATGTTCTTCAGGTGATAGAAGGCCGACTTTGTAACTGTCTTTATGTGGCTCACAAGGTTCAAGTCCGAGTCCATCACTACTCCCAGGTTTCATGCCTGATCGATAGTTTTAGTTGTAATAACTGAAGCTGTGCATTGACTTTAGATCTTTCCTCTTTAGGTCCAAAAATAATGACTTCAGTTTTTTTTGTTCACCTGGAGAAAGTTTTGGCACATCAACACATTTATCTGATTTAAGCATTTATTGAGTGATTGGATGGGGTCAAAGTCACCTGGTGACATCGTAATGTAGAGTTGTGTGTCATCCGCATAGTTATGGTAGCTAATTTTATTTTCTGTTATAACACTAGCAATTGAATAGATGAGCTAGTGGGAAAATATAAATATTGAATAAGAGGGGTCCTAGGACTGCACCTTGGGGTACCCCACATGTGACCTTTGACCTCTTTGATGAGAAGTTTCCAATTGAAACAAAGAAATCTCTGTTCTTTATGTAAGATTCAAGCCAGTCGAGCACCGAACCGAAGAGTCCAACCCAACTCTCCAGTCGATTCAGTAATATGTCAAAAGCTGCACTGAGGTCCAACAGAACCAACACCATGGTTCTCCCACAGTCCGTATTTATATGGATATCATTGAATACTTTGACTAGGCCAGTCTCCGAGCTGGGGTGAGCATGAAAACCAGACTGGAAAGTGTCAAAGCAGTTGGTCATCATGAGGAAACTATTTAATTGTTATGAGGGTACATTTGTACCAAACTGGCCAGAAACTAAATTGCAGGAAGTTTTGCTATTTTGAAAGCTTTTATTGGATTTAGTCATCTTTATTTGATAGTGAATTGACAGGAAAGTGGATAAAGAGAGAAAGGGGAACACATGCAGCAAAGGTCACCAGGCCGGGAATGGAACCTGGGACAGCCGTGTCCAAGACGAAGACCTCCGGATGTGTGTTGTGCTTTACCCCTGCGCCACCACAGCAGCCTCAGTCAGTTTTATTGTTTTCTAAATAATACATGAACAGTGAAACTGTTTAAACAATGAGTATTGTAACCAACGTGTCCTTTGCTTCTCACCTTATGACCGTCAGCAGTGGTTCTGGACGGCCTTACTCTCACTCAGATTCCTGACCGTGAAGAGCTGTTCTTTATCATTGTAACTGGTTTTCATTATGTTGTATTACCATTAGAACTGAACTGGAATGTTTCTAAATTAATTTATATAATGTTGCATTGATTTGACTTTATAGTTTTCCATATGACCTTGATCTATTTGAGATGATGCACACTATATTGTGGATTGATTCTTTACACATAAACTGTACATATTTAACTTGTTAAAAACAAACTCAGAAATCTTGAATAGAACAAAGCAGAACATTTAAAGATTGGGAAGTCTTTAAATAATAGTTAAAATGATTCAAATCTGGGATTTTTATTCCTACTTATCTTGTCTGAGCAGGATAAGCATAGAAGGTAGAATGAATGTTCAGACATAAAAACCTTGAACAAATCAAACACAACCTTCTTACTCTTACACAACATAATCATATTAAAGAATAAAGAAAATGTGTGCAGTCATTTATCAGGGTTAGCACAAACAAAAAGTACTCTGAATGATATGCAAGTTTCTTTATTTCATAAAGAGAAATGGTGTCTAGACAAAAAAAAAGTCATTTGTATAACACTAGCAATTGAATGAATGAAAATGGGGTTGCACAACAAGGTATTTACATGGTAATTAAGTCTTTAATAATTAGGGTCATTAAAAATGTAGGTAAGAACTCTTAGTAGAGAATAAGCAAATAACAGCTATTTCAAGTGGACAATATTAACACAAAACAGTCTAGAAAAAATAAGAAAAAATAACTCGAACTACAAGCTTAGAAGCTATTACATTAAAAATGATGCACCAAAATCTACCAATACAATAATCCATTTAATCTGTGTAAAAGCATGTAGAAAAACACCTGATGCAGTTTGCTGATACAGTCATTGACCAGTAATGAGAGGTATGAAGGATTTCACAGGTAGATAAGTGTGAGAAAAGTCTGCACTGGTTACTCAGGGATGGGGGCCCAGGCCCCTGCATACACTCACTTCACTTGAATGTGAACTATGGCCTCTGCAAGTTCTAAGGCAAATATTGGAGGTGCACTTGTATCCATGTAATGCTGAGTCATCCAAAAAGTTGGATGAAACACAAGGTCAGAGGAACTCATTCTTTGCCTCTTAGATGGAGAAGAATAGATCAAACATGACATGACACCTATCTGTAAACATATTACATTTAGATTTCACTCAATGATCTTAACTTGTGCATTTAAATAGCACACATTTCCTTTTGTTAAAAAAAATGAAGTCGAGTAATCTGTGAAAAGGCATGTTTTTGTTCATATTCTTTCAGAACAACCTTTGGAGTTGCAAAAGCCAGTGTCTGTGTCAGAGAAGCAGCGACAAGAAAAAAAAAGGAAATGTAACAAAATTAAACAGAAAGATGAGTGGATTCATTTTACAGAGCTACAGCATGTTCACATAGAAATCATACTGTTGCAACTATGTTTGACCTGCACAAAGCAACCTGGAGACCAACTCATGTCAACACAACTTTCTTTCAATTCATGCATATAATAAGAAAAAAAGTTTGTTTATAATCAATCTGATTGGTTTGCAACTGATTTAACACAAAGAGGAATATAAACCAAATCTGCATCTGCTTTTCATCTGCATAGCTTGTCAGCACCTTCCAGCTCCTAGTTTTGGTTTAACAGTAACCAGACTGAATTTGTTGATCTCATCTCTTTCCTCCCCGCTAACCCCACACCAAATAAAGAATCGCTTGTATTGAGCTGCTTGCACACAGTCACAAATAAGATTGAGAAAGAAAGAAAAAGAATATCAAGCCTCAACATTCATCAGGTGGGCAAATACAGAGCTTGTTTCTGGTGGCAATACTTTCACCTGAAGAACATAAAATACTCCAACATCATGAGCAGAAAAAATCCAAAAACTATTCAGCTCACAGCTTTTCTGTTCCCTGCTTCAGAGTGATCTCCAGAGCAAGTTTAAGTACTCACCACCCTGAGGTTTTAATGGCATGCGTCACTGAATTAGCAATAAAACATCCGTGGCTGACTGACATCCACTCGCACCATGCAGACAGCTTTGGTATGTCCATGTTACTGGTATAAAGTGATGAAATACAAAGTATTGATTGAAACTTGGTGACAAAAATTTACGTAGCTAGAAGCCACCACTGGTAAAAGATATTTTGTTGTCAATTAAGCCCACAAAACATAATTTTTTTTTTTTTTTTGTGGCTTAAACACAAATGTTCCAAGATTCATTTAAGGTCATTTACATGTCAGGGTGACCCTTTCAGCATTAAGAGAGCATAAAAAATATTACAAGTCTGGACCAAAAGCAGGGACTAAACTTCAGAAACCTTAGTTCAGTGGGATTACATTTGGAAGTTCAGATGAATCAGCAAAATATGTTAAAAAGAGTCTGTGATCTCTGTAGAAATATTAGAACATCTCAGGAGCCTCTGATCAATTTTGGCTACATTTCTCAAGAGAAAAAGAGAATCATCTTTAGGTCTAATCTTGCGGAAAAATTTTCATCTTAGATTTTAATCATTTCTTTCTGCTAACTAAAATTGTCAACATAGGATTA